TTTTTTTCTATGTCTTAGATGCAATAAAATTATGATGCATGGTTCCTATTCTACTATGCAAATGCAAAAGCAAGCATCAGTCCATCATACCCCCCCCCCCCCCCCCCCCCCCCCCCCCCCCCCACACACACACACACACTTAAATTACACAGTGTCTGTGTAGTAAAAATGCTAAGGAAAGTGTTCACAAACATCAAGCAAACAATCGCCATAATAATATAAAAAAAATGAGTGGTATTTACAATGGTTAGTGTGGTGTACCTTACTTCAGGTGGAGGAGTGTTGAGAGTCTGAACTCTCAATGGCATGGGAGGGTGAAGCTTCCTCCTCTGATGGAGTTTGCTGTCTAGTCCTTCTCTTCTTTCCTTTTCGCCATGGAGCAGCTACATGAGATGAATGCCTGGCCAGTTGAGGGACTTGTGTTCTTGGCCGCTCACTGATGTGGAATGAGTGTCTCTCTTGGACTGCCCTCTCTGGTGTATCATCAGACATTTCTTCAGCATCAGATCCTCCTCCTTGTGGCTCTGTTTGGATCGCTTGATCAGATCTCTTGGCTGATGAAGATCCTCCCAACTTCTTCTTGAGCTTTCTCACCTTCTTCTTCAATGAGTCAACCGACTTCTTGCTTGCTTTGGCCGTCTTCAGCAACCCTATGATGGCTTTTTCCTAGAAGTGGTTCCATCTCTGAAGAAGCCTAATGTGCTCATGTGCAGCCTTTGAAGCTTCAGATGTGCAGATCACATCATATGGGTCAAATGCATAAGGGCGGCTATCATAGTCCTCATGTTCTTTCTCTTCCATCCCTTGATGTTGAACCTCTTGTTCTTGATGCTACTCTTCAAAGTCTTCTTCCACATCTGAGTCTCTGATGGTGCTCATGTTCTTCACTTTGATTGGCCTCATCAATGGTGGATCAGTCCTTGGATCATAAAGCTCATCTTGTGTTGGCATGAATCGTATGTTCTAGCATACTCGATCTATACAATAAATATATAAAATCATAAAATATTTAATTTTAATGATTAGTATTCACTGCTCCATACAAAATAACATTCTAGATCCGCCACTGTCATCATATGCTCATGCCTTGTTCGTATAGGGAGGCTCATCAACTTATACCTAGAAAGAAAGATGTGGAAACGAATTTCCCTTGAATCTTGATGTATATTTTTATGGGAAGTTTACTAAAATGACTCAAATTTAACATTTTATTACTAGAATAACATGTATACCTTTTTAACAGATTGAATATATTTTATGTCTACTTTACCCTTTAATGATATTTATCCAAAAAAAATTACAAAAATGCCATTATAATATTTTCGAAAATACCATGACAGATCTATAAATAAATAAGTCTATCGAGATAATCTGCCATTTATTTGATGGCAGGTTTTTATTTTTGCACAGATTTAATTTTTTTGATAGATTATTTTCACAGATTTTCATCTAGGATAGGTTTATTTATAAAACTTTGTCATATGAAACAACAGATTTATTTTCTTCGTGAGACTTGTTTTCTGAGACAGATTTATATAGCAGATTTTTAATAATGACACAACAGATTTGATTATTTTTAACAGACTTATTTTCTGAGACAGATTTATATAGCAGAATTTTTGCTGACACAACAGATTTAATTATTTTTAACAGATTTATTTTTGGATGACAGTTTTGATTGATAAACTTATTTTCGTCATCAATGTTATTGATGACAAACTTATTTTAAACGACAGATTTTGATATCGAACAACAGATTTACTATGACAGACTTTTATAAATCTATTATGACAGACTTAAAATAATAAATACCTAATTTGACCTAATGTGTAAAAATTTAAAAGTACACGACGGCTAAGTATGTCGCTAACCATCTTCTTCTCTCTTCAAAACAATCAAACATCTTAATCTTCTTCCTCTTCAAAACAAACCATACATGGCGCAAATAATCTTGGTATATGGTAAATGGATGCTTGAAGAAAACAGATGGTTATTTGTTGGTAATAAAGACTCCAAAATTGTAACAATAAATCCTTCTACATCTTATGAAGAATTCATTCAAACAGTTTACGAGGAGTATGGATTGGATGAGAGATTATATGAAGTTGATTTGAGTTACATGTTTCCGAAAAGGGTTTTGATGAAGTTGCCACAAAATACAGCTCTGGTGGTTGTTGGAAAGTCACGACAGTTTAAGGGTTTTTTTGAACAATACAAAGCTGCTCCACGTCGACTTTGTGTCCAAGTTAAAGAGAAAGAAAAACAGAAGTGTGATCGATATAAGCATGAAGACGAAGATGGAGCCAATGAGGAGAAAGTGTCAATATGTGAGGGAAATCAAGACGACGACGAGAAATGCAGATTTGATTGTTGCGATGATTCGGATGGAGCTACATTTGACGACGAAGACTTTAGCTTGTATGGAAAGCCTCCGGAGGAAGAGAACGAGAAGAGCACGAAAACAGTTAAAAGGAGGGTTCACGAGTACAACCAAGGAAACAAAGGGAAACGATGCACATGTGAAACTAGAATTGAATTCACTTAATCTAGTTGTTGGACAACGTTATGAGACAAAAGATGCTTTGGAGACAAGATTGAAGATTTTGTCAATCTTACATCAGTTAGATTTCGATGTTGTTAAATCAACACCGTGTTTGCTAATAGTTAAGTGTTGGGTGAATGGATGTACTTGGAGAGTACGAGCTTCACCGGTCGGAAATTCTCTCCAATTCTATTTCTCTGTGTATGTTGCAGAACATACATGTTCTATTACGGAGCGTTCTTTGCGTTCTCGATAAGCAACTCCGGAGATATTAGGACTATTGTACAAAGATTTCGTTGGTGGTGTTGGAGCTAAAGTTTTGCCAATCCATGTTTCTCAGGCATTAAACATGTGATTTGGTATCAAGATGTGTTTTAAATTCAGCTATTGCACTAAATTTACCATTTAATTTGATATAAGAAAAGATTTACAGATTTTTTCCCTATAACTAGATGGATTATTGGAAGGCTCACGGGATACTTAAACAAGCACGAGATTTGGTTAGAGGAACTTCGGAGGAAGGGTATCCTGAATTACCTGTTTACTTACACATGATAAGAAGAGAAAATCCTGGTACATTTACACGCCTAGAAGATGATGACAATCAAAGATTCAAGTATCTTTTTCTGGATTTCCCTTCATGAGAAAGGTGGGGTCGTTAATGGATTTTCCTTCATGAGAAAGGTGGGGTCGTTGATGGCACATTTTTGCAGGGAAAGTATAAAGGAACACTTCTTATTGCCACTTCACAAGATGGAAATTTTCAAATATTTCCAATTGCTTTTGCAATAGTCGATACTGAAAATGATGAATCATTGGATTGGTTCTTCAGGCAAATTTATTGTGTGATCCCGGACGATGAAGGACTGGCCATAATTTCTGATAGGCAGAAATCAATTGGGAAGGACGATGCAAATGTATATCTGATGGCTAGTCGTGGAATCTGTACGTACCACCTATATAAGAACATCCTGGTGCGATTTAAAGGCCGTGACACCTTTAGTTTGGTTAAAAAGGCGGCAAACTCTTTTAGAATTTCAGATTTTTAGTCCATATTTGATCAGATCGAAATCTTGAATCCAGCATTGCATAGCTATTAGCAAAGTGCTAACGTGCAACTGTAGACACGTGTTTATTTTCCGGGAGATAGGTACAATATCACTACAACCAATATTGCAGAATCGATAAATAGGGTGCTCTCGGACGCAAAGAGTTTGCCAATTGTTCATCTATTAGATGCAATACGATTAATGATGATGCGGTAGTTTTCTGAGCGAAAGAATGAGGCTGGATTAACGAAAACAACTTTGACTCGTGGAGTCGAGAAGCTGTTGGAGGTAAACATTTTGTAACTTATAAATGGCTTTGCATTAACAAGACCTAACTAGTATATTTTTTAACCAGATTCGTGTACCATATGCTAAGAAGCTTCCAGTGCAAGCTATAGATGCAAATCAATCGCAAGTGACTGACGGATCATCTTTGCATGCCGTGCACTTAACCGAAAAAAATGCTCATGCCGTAGATTTGATTTGGAAAAATTATCATGCGTGCATGCAATTGCAGCAGCTGAAGCAAGGAAAAAATCTCGCATATCCTTATGCCATCCTTATTATTGCAAAAATTATTTGTATAATGCCTACTCTACTGCTGTGATGCCAAGGGATAATGCTTTAACTGTACCAGATCATGTCGCTGAAAAAGTGTGCCTGCCTCCTGTGGTTCGCCAACAACCAGGAAGACCGAAAAACTCTAGGATTAAATCAGTATTGGAGAAGGCCGGAGATAAAAAGAAGACAAGAAAACAACACGCTTGTTCGATATGTAATCAAGTAGGTCATAATTGTAAGTCATGCCCATTGTATCTTAATGAGACTTGTTTTGGGGTAGACTTGTGTTGGTATAATTGATGATTTGTCTTGCTGGTGGACGTGTGTTGTGGTACTTGTTTTGAGTAATTGTAGACTTGTCTTGTTTGGCTTTTAAATTTGTAATGACCTTTGTTTTACACATTGCCAAACTAATTGTTAACTCTGCAATCCCACCGTTGAATATGAAGACCAATGTACTGTTATAAACTCTACCAAATATTAGCTTCATCAGACAAGCTTTAGTCCCTTAAACGATTTCTGAAAAACCTGCAGTAAAACTGTTTTTAATAGAAATCCGTAAAAATAATGATTTTGAGCCAACTTTCGATCCGATTTGTGGATGATTTATAACTCTGATTGATGCACCGTTAAATCCCAACAATTCTATCAAGCGGGATCTGTATAGACACATCTTCTTTGTAGTCTAAGTCCTTCTTATGTTGCCGAAATCCTTCTCCAAAAATTGCCATCACAGACACTGTTTGATTACTATGTTGCAGAGATTGAAAACATGTTTTGGTTCTTTCAAACGATTTCGATACATAATCTGACTACTTGGATAAAAAAAAGCTCTTTAATAGTCACTACAAAACATGTGTACGCTACATATGAAAAGAGAAACAAAACACCATGTCAATACGATGAATTACAAATAGTGACACCATATCACCATGATCATCACGCTACATAAACTGAAACAAGTAAGAGAAAACACCACATCACCACGATCATCACCAAAGAGAGACCATGTCACCACGATCATCACCAAAGATCTGCCACCTTGTCAAATATCTCAGCTGCTAGTTTCAAACGGATTTGCGGAATGTTTTTATCGTTTAGACCCTCAAATGTACACGCAAGAGCAAGACACTCGATGTACTTCAATGTATAAACACCACAATCACCAGGGTTATCATTCTGTGGGATGCCTTTCTTCCTGCACACACTAAACTGCCTCACGCTCTTCTTCCTAATATTAGGAGGAACCATGGAGTTAAGTAATGCAGGAATCATTACAGCAAATAGTCGACATGAATCAGTAATAGTCTTGTCATCACAATGATTGTATATGCTGTCGTAGACGTAAATCTTCCCACTCGGCAAGTCAATATCCAACGCTACCCAATGATCTCCTTTTACAAAATGGCAGACATACAAGTGATCGATATCAATAAACCACTTCCTGTTTGTCACTGCTCCAAAAAGATATTCACCATTGAACATTTCCAAATATTTGCTGGAAAAAGTCCAGCTCTTGGGATCGTAGTCATTGTAATCAAGAACCCAAGCGCTCACAAACCAATGGTCCAGAAATGCAATCTTTGTAGAACGATAAGGACATGGGTCAGAAAGAGACCTTATATGGAACATATGCATCGCTGAATTCATTTACTGGAAAAAAAAAAGAGAATGAAAATCAAGACTCATATTAAGACAACAAATCCAATGTATTAAAACAAGAGAAGAGCATTGCTAACCGAACCACCCAACCAGCCATAGGTTAGTTCAGGCCAATCTTTCCTGGGAGTAACAATAACATTGTAAAATTCAAAACTTGAATTGCTGACCCGTAGAGGTTGGCCCCTAAAAACGTTTGCAATATCATTAATAAAATTGTTTGTATATAGAATAATAATGTAATGGAGAAAGGAGGAAAGGATCACATACTCTTTAAGGTCAATAAAATCCATCAATTTACGCATTTTACTCTCTTCCACTTTGGCAAACGGATCGTAGCTTGTGGCTGAAGGGGTCACGTTTTTAACAATACGCTTGATATTTGAGCTCCCCGTGAATGGGGGCTGCAGTGCTGCAGTCAATTTTTTTTTACAACCAGCTGCGTCACCATTCAAACGTCTGAGGCCTTGTCCTAGTGCTCCAAACAGATTATCAAGTTTCTGTTTTTTCTCCCGGATCTCAGAGTCTGATTCTGTTGAAATTGATTGAGCCATCCCACCCTTATCTCCAATCTTCTTATGTGGTTGCTCAACACCAGTCTTCTTCTTAACAGCAATCTTCACATCTTGTTTCTTATCACCATTCTTCTTAACAGCAATCTTTTTAAGCTGTTGTTTTTCACCATTCTTCTTTACTTGATCCGTATCTTTGTTCACATTCTTCACAACGCGGCTACTCGGGAGATCTTCTTGGGATGTACCTTTTATTACTATCCACGACTGATGAAAAGAAAACATGAAAATCACTGAATAAATAACGAAAGACCAAAATCATTTATAAAACTCATAAACAATTTTTTTACCAAATAACCAAATTCAAAAACTAATTATGAGCTTAATTAATTAACATCATATAAATCGTTACATGTGACAACATTCAAAGGCTACATTCAAACGTTTCACTAACTACATGTCACCATATTCAAACGGCCATTCACAAAACACCATATCAGACTACATATTTTCAAAATTTCTAACTAACGTACCGGAGATATACTTGTCACATCCTCATCTACATGATCATAAGATGTTGCATCTTCCTTAGTGGCACCACGTTCGAGATGCTCTTGTAGTTGTCTAACATCATTTTCAAGCATAGCAATTTTGTTACCAACTTTAGCATCAATTGCAGCATCCACTTTAGTCACAATGTTGGTTTCCATAGACTCCACTTTTTGAATTAGTATCTGCACTAAATTCACAAGTCTAGAGACTGAATTTTGATCATCATTTGGCGTCGGACTCTCCTTGTTGCCACTGTCCTTCTCAGTAGCCTACACACATTAAATTTCTAAAGGGTGTGAGAAAAACAAGTCTTACTTTTATATATTTGACACAAAATTCAATGTTAAAAAAGATAATTTAATCTTTTATTCACCTTTGAAGTTTCTTCAACTTCACATGATGGTTTCTTCTTTTGATGTGTATACGTCTCAGCTAGATTATCATCATCATTCTTCATGACATCTACTTTCCTTTTTCTGAAACTTGTATTTCGATCTTTCGCTACAGTAACATCCCAAGCAGTTGTATCAAACCGATCATGAATAATATCCTTGATCAAATTGTCCAAATCTACATCTAAATCTTTCTCGTCCTTGTCCTCAATCCACTTAGGATATATCTCTTCTTCTGGGTTTACAAAAATGCCTCACACGCACCTAAACAATTAAGTTCGAGTAGCCATGTTAAACAACAATGACACATCAAAACATATATATGACTCAGCCTAATTGTCAAGCAACTCAGCGTACCTATAAAATAATCCAACTATTAAACATAGTTAGAAAGCATACCTTATCGTAAGCTCTTTTCTCCTTGGCAAGCAAGATATATGCGCTTACGTGATCCGCCCCATGAAACCAGAGGAACTTCTTGCCCTTCTTTCTTCTTCCCATACTATGTTCTTAGACAATGTATTGACTCATAAGCCCATATGAGCAAAACATGAATACACCCTCGAATTATGTATGTGTTGTTTTCTCCATAAGTGACCATTTTAATCGAATCTATTAGACTTTAAAAACCCACTCGACCCCAAGGGTACCTATCGAAGATATCTGGATCCATAACTTTCTTGGCACATTCCAAAGGGATTCTACTAGCAGGAGAAATACCAAATACTGCAACTGACAAAATACACAACAGACCGACCATTCTTATCTTGGCGAAACTCCAGGCCTTACATCTATTCAAAACCGATTTCAGCTCATTTAGTGAAGGTCCATGCCCTGCAGAAACCTCAAGCTCGCTCCAAAACTCTCTATGGTCGACATCCCAGTTGTCTTCATCGTCAAATGGATCGCAATTCAGACTAGTAATCTCTGCAAATTCATACAAAGAAAACCTTATCGGTTGTCCATCAATGAGCGACCATATTTCCTGATTCTTCTTCACCTCCAGCTGATTTGTTAAAAGTAATGGACAGTCCTCGCGGACCAGATGTAATCCATTTCGTGAAACCTAATAAAGACTCCAACTGATGAATCTCTTATGGCATTCCATACATTTTCCCCAACTTCTTCTTTCACCATTGACAATTTGCTCATGTAACAGTTGTAATTGGTGCGCTTTCTTTGAATATGTGCTTTTCCTTTTTCGAATTGAAGCTGAGGGTACTTTCTTCTACCACTTGAAGACGCCATGCTGAGAAAAAAGAAAACAGAGTTCAAAGCAAAAACAAAACAAACCGCCAAAGTTCAGCTATAATTACTTCAAACCATTAGTGTAGTTGAAACATTCAATTGGCATAGAATATAAGGGAATGTAATCTAAGAATTTGTTTGAAAGAAACAATTGAGAAGAGGAAAAAAAATCAATTGGCGGAGAAGAGACAAAAAATTCAACTGAGGGAGAAGAGAAACAAAACTCAATTGAGAAGAGAAACAAAATTCAATTCACATACCACGAAAACCCCACAGAAGAGGAACCTTTGCGATTTGTCAAAGCAGGCGTTGCGGTTGGAGTAGAGGCGAGAGAAGAATTTAGTAGGAGGAAGAAGAGAAGAACACAGGCAACAGAGACGTCGGATGAGAGAAGAATCCAGGCAACAGAGACGTCGAACGAAGAGGCAGTGGTGGCTAGGTCGGCGAATGTCGGAATCGTCGGAGATGTTTTGTCCTCCGAACGTCGGAGTCGTCGAGGAAGAGAAGAATTTTTTTGTCTTTGGTCGACAGATTTATTTAGAGTCACGATTTTATTAGATTTATTAGATCTGTCATTTTATTGTTTCTTTTAATTATTAATATTTTAGATATTAGTAATATATATTATGGATAAATGGCAATACTGTAGAATAAATATTAATCAGTGGGTTAAAGGACTTTTTAATTAAAATTAGAGTCATTCTAGTAAACCTGTCAACTAAGAGTTAGTGTAGTAATAAAATGAAAAATTTGAGTCATTCTAAGTAATTTCTCTATTTTTATATATCAAGATAGTTAATATTTTTTGCAATTTTTTTTCTTTTTTTTGTCAATGATTTAATTATTTATTTTTTAAGTTATCAATGATGATTTATTTATTTATTTTAACTAATTAGCGACTCTTAGCGTATAGATTATTTTGTAAAATCTAAATTGAACCCCAAAAAGAAAACAGAATCTGAAAAATTATATATGAACAGATTCGAATCCAGAGAGATCCGATCCTAATCTGATCCGGTTACTCGTCCTCGTTATTTTGTAGGGGGTATAGCGTTTATGTTACAGCGTTTAACTTAACACATCTAACAGTTGTGATCATTCTTGGGATAATCTTTGACGATGAACGGCTACGATCACAAACTCAAGCAAATTTTGGTTTTAAACGAGGAGATAAAAAAATACAACAAATCCAAGTTCATTGAGTTATTTACCTAGAATAACCATTTAAAATCGGTATTGACTAGAATAACATCCTTCTACAACTGACTAACTAAAATAACCTTACAAAGTTGTGCAAAGACATCAAAACCCAAATTTTGGATATAATAACAAAAATACCATTTTGATAAAAAAAATGATCAAAAATAATAAAATTGATAAAAGAAAGATTTTTGGAAGAAAAAAAACAAAAACAACAAAACCTTTAAAAAAAAAATCAGCTCGCGAGGGGAGGGAGATTTTGTGTCCGATTTGAAGAAACCCAAAATCTCCGATTACGGCGGCGAAGAGCACCGACGGTGGAGCAAAGGTAGAGCTCCCGAGCTTCCCGGACCTGCGACGGCGGCGCCTACATCTTCTCTTACGGCAGTGTCTCCTTACGACAGACGGCGGCGCCATTTGACGGCTGCTTTGTCTCATGGCTGCTTTGTTTCATGGCGAGTGAATAGTAAGATCCTTCACCGTCGATTTGTCTCCATTTGTAAATCTATGGTTTTTCTTGATGGTAACCTTGGTTTCGGATTTGTAGATCTAGATTATTGTCGAAGTTTATAATCGAAATTTTGTTTTTATCCAGCAGGATTTGCCTTTGCTGGTAGAGTTTCACCATCATCTTCTACATCAACACTTTCTCCATCCTTTGATTTTATAGAAGTTCCATATTCTTCATCATCAGAAGTAGCACCATCCGGATCTTCGCATCCATCATATCTGGTACTCAAGTCTTCGTCTTCTTCCTCTTCTTCGTCTCGTTTTGCTTCTTCATGTTGTTGTTCTTCTTTATCTCCTTCTTCTTCATCTCCTTCTTCATCATCTCCTTCTTCTTCATCTCCTTCTTCTTCATCTCCTTCCTCTTCAACAGTAACATGGTCCGATCGTAATGGAGACTTTTTCCTAGCAGCAGGATGATTCTCTCCATCTGAACCAAAATCATCGAGAGTTTTTGATTTAATCTCAACACACAAGCGAATCCGATCTTCTTTCAATTGCTCGAAAAACCCGTTGAACTGTCTATTATTTCCCACAAATACAGGAGGTGTATCTTGTGGTAATCTTTGCAGCACCTCCTTGGACAACATGTAGCTTAATTGCACATCTTGATTTCGAGGATCCAATCCAAAATCTTCAAACACCATTCCCAGAAATCCAGTGAAAGAGGTTTCTTCATGTACCCGCAATATTCGACATCTTTTTCCCTTATCTATGCCAAACCTCCATCGATTATTGTGAAAACTCCATTTTCCACAAACCAAAATAATTTGTTCCATCGATTCAAAATGACCAAGACCTTCATAAACCAGCTAAAGAGAAATCGAAATGAGGATTTACTAGAGGAAGAACAAGAAGAAGATCGAGATTTTAGTTTATTTGGTCGAACTAAATGGAGAAAAATGATGGAGGCAGCGATAACACATAGTGTGAGGGAGATAATGTGATGTGTGGTCCCACATTTTTGTTTTTTTTTGTTTTTTTTTTGTTTTTTTTTGTTTTTTTTTTGTTTTTTTTTTTGTTATCAAATACCATTTACTTTACTACTCCACATCTCCCAACTAACTCTTCTACCTCCACCGCCGCCATCACTCTGTTCGGGCACTCCCCCTCATAACTCACTCTACACGACGTCGGCAAGTTCACTCTACTAGAATCCGACACTGCCAACTCTCGTCGGTAAGTATTCCGCTTTCTCTTCCTTTTCATCCGCCAAATACCTAAACTTCTGTGGCGAGTTCACATCTGTTGTATGTTAGAGATTATCGTCAAATCACTTCGTCTGATGTTGTGTGGTACTTATACAAGGCCTCTTGCTGGTAGATTTACGTTAACTCTAGGTCTGATAATAAGCCGTTGTGGTAGACTTGTTACTTGTGGTAGACTTTTTAGTATTAGACATATATATACATGGTGGTAGACTTGTTACTTGTGGTATACGACCATTTTTAATCTGTTGTGGTAGATATACTTGGTTCATTGATGGAAATTTTACTTTATCTGCAGTTTTGACTTTATACGCTTCTCTATACTCTCTATGTTTCAGCGTAAAATGGAAACAAATGATGGACTCCACGAAATAAGAGACCTACTCGGGCTGATTCTTCAGAGAGTGGGACGAGTTTCTGCTAAGGACGCATGTCGTGCAGCATGTGCGTCAAAACAGCTAAACGCAGCATTAAAGGAACCATATGTAATGCAAGCACTAAACCTATCAGACTTCGTTGCTGATACAACTTTGCTCGAACGATATCCTTACTTCTTCAATTTGACTCTCTCATCAGACAATCCTCATGCATTATACATGCACGGGATGAGGACAATAGCTATAGACCACGACGTTGAAAATTCGCTCAGATTTTTCAACAAGGCTTCCAAAGCCGGGATAGACCAAGCAACATTGATGGTCGCTGTTATCGCAACCGCATATGGCCACTATCCAACTGCAATGGAGATGTTGGAAAGAGTTGTAGGTTGGAGATCACGCATGCACTACATGATCGAACTAGGTGAAGAGGTTTCTCGAACCAAGATGGAAATGCAGAGTGCTACTGCAGATCTGTTGCCCAATGTTTTCAAAGTAGAAGAATTTCCAAGCTGCAGATTCAAACACCCATTAATGTGTTGCCACGAGTGCTACCTTTTTCTTCAGTACCAACTACTTAGATTTCAGTTTTAATAGCGTCTATTTTCTACTGTGAATCGCTTTATCTATCTCTATGCACTTTCTTCGTTGAACATCTCTAAGTACTTTCTTTCTTTAAGAACTGCTTCTCTATGTACTTTCTATAAATTTTGAAATGTAATGAATGAGTCTTCAACAGACGCTATAGAAGTTGAATCTTTTCACTGCAATATTCGCATTCTTATCACGTCCAAAATCAACATCCCACTTATCAACATTTGATTTCAACGTTCTTCACCATCCAATACCCCATTAAAAGTCTACCACTACGCAATCACGATCTGTGAAAAAGTCAACTATCTACCAGCACATATTAAGTCTACCACCTCGTAACACGATAAATCTACCAATGATGTTATTCTGGTAATTATGGAAAATATAACTCTACCACTACGAAAATAAAGTAAATCTACCATGACAGCAAAATAACTCTACCAGGATTCGTTGGCACTAAAAACTCTACCATCAACAAAATAACTCTACCATCAAGTAAATACAAAACAAATCTACCACCACAATTACTAAGTCTACCAAATGAAATTAAATCTACCAAGTCCAAAAACAAATCTACCGCCATTCAAAGTCAATGAACGTAAAAAGTCAACCAATCACCCTCTGGTAGGGTCGAAAACAAAAAAATCTTCCACAACATATTTTTAAGTCTACCAAGGTCCCCAACAAATCTACCGTTCGAGAAACAAATCTACCGTTCGAGGAACAACTCTACCGTTCCCAAAAAATCTACTGCGTCATAAGCACTTCACCATCAACAACAAGTCTACCACACGAAACAAATCTACCAGCCGTTGACCAAACGAAACAAGTCTACCGTCAAACATCTCGCTGACGTGGCAAAGGAAAAGTAATGGCACAATCATAAATACCGTTTTTGTTATCAAAGGCTCGAAGGGCATAATCAATACGCTAGGTTAGTTCAGTAATAAAAACAAAGTTCAACTATTCTAGCGAATACACCTATCTAAAAGAGTATTCTAGTAGTCCTCCCGTTCATTAGTTCAAAAAAAAAAAAAACAAAAAAACAAAACAGATCCAAGTTCCTTGCCAGAAATTATATAAATTATCGTGTAATGCTGGAAATATATTTATAACCACGTCGTACAGTATATGAGAAGCTCTCAAAGGAATACAATTTATCAAGTGAGAGGACTCTGAAACGAACCTACTGACAAATTTAACAACCTATCAAACCATGATCCTGGGGATAGAAACGTTAGACTCTTCCCTGACTGTGTCACCTGAAAGAAAGAACATCAAACCAGTTAGTCAATAGCAACAGCTACTCTCAAATGTAACTTTTAATCATATCGATTCTAATAACAATTCTTTTTTGTATTCGATAGGTTTCTTTATCGACCCATAAAGCTACCACAGCTCGCACGTATATCAACCAGAGACTCCTAATTACACATAAACCAAGGATGAATGAATCAAATGATCTCAAAACACGCAAGCCCTCTTCGTCTCTTGGGTTGTTAAGATCTTGGTGCATGTTCTTAGACTAGTGAAGTGAAATGAACTAAGTCAAAGGTAAACGAAGACATGACTCTTGTTTGTATAGATATGTATGAAAGCAAAAGAGAGAGTAATAATTACCAGGTTGAGTGGTTGTGGTGACCTCTCCATAGATGGCCTTAAGCGTGGACAGAGGAACAACCACACCAGAAGAGGCTGCTGCTTCAGCGAAGAGTTGCTGTTTCCACTCCCACATTGTGACTTTCATTTCCTTATTAGACTTGAGAAGCGATTCCTTCTGCTCCGTTAAGGCCTCCACATACTTTTGCTGTTTATCAGATCTCAACCCCAAAACCACAAACGATACTCCAAGACACGTGTTTATTACAGCATTGTTGTTCATCGCTTCCGAGAGAAGCATCGCAATCTTGTTCGCCATTTCCTGTTGATAGCCAAATTCATGAGCTATCTTTATCGCGAAGAACATGTAAAAAGAACTTATCTTTCATTCTTTCTAGTGATAACAATGAGTTTCAACCATTAAGCATCATTTGATTCGGTAAAGAGAAAAAAGCAACCGGGAAAAAAACTAATTTTTAAACTAGTCTTTGAACAGATGGCCTACACAACATTTGATTTTTTGCACAAACTAATGAATATTTTCAAACAACAACAATGTTTGAGGTGAAGTAAAGTATCATATCTACTTTCACTCGGGAAAATGTAACTGCATAAGAGCCTTGGATTTCGACATTGCAGGAGAAACTCACGGAAAGTTGAATATGAACACAGATCAAACAAACAGTTTACTATTGTATAGCTTTGAATGTAAACCATTTTTTTGTGTCTTAGAAACATTCAAAAACAGAGCTTCAAGTGTTTAAAAGATCAATTAACCAAACACACATTTTCGTTGGTGATGAAGTTGGGTTGACCAGTAAATTAACAAAAAGTGTCATTTTGGCCAAGAACTAATGAAAAATGACAAGCGGAAGAGTACATGAGATGATGATTTACAAATTTGAAACGTAACTAAGATACTGAGATCCATCAAACCGATCAATAAAGCTAAAGACGACATCCGGTAAACAAAAAGAAAAGAAATTTAAACACTACAAAGCAAGGAAAATGAATCAGAGACGCCAATCGGAAGGTAAAACGGACGAAGACAAAAAAAAAAAAAAAAAAAAAAACGGACGAAGACTCACCTGAAAATGAAAGTGCGACGGCGAGGCGATGCGATGCGATGCGGCGGCGTGAAATTAAAAAACCCAAACAGAGAAACCTCTCTTCCGTCTCAGTACTTTTAAAGTTATTTTGGGGATTTAACTGTAATTATAATTGAGAAATGTTGTTTGTTAGAGAGAACAATTTGACTCTCTTACAGAAAGCAAAGGGCAAAATGGGAATTCTAATCAGAAATTTCCTGCTCGTATTACGCAAATCTGAGGAGCCAGAATCTCAGTTTTCAAATTAATTTGAAAAATTAGATTTACAAGTTACAACAAACGAAAAGAAGCGAAGGAAAAAGATTTTAATGCAATTAAATTAATGAGTTTCCTTTCCTAGTACTTTTTTATACAGAATAAGAAAATGTAAATGTCCAACGGGCAACGGCTATATATTATTAATTGGAGAAAATGGAAATTATCGGTCCGTTTACTTTAAGAGTTAAGGTGTTTTGTATATTTTGAATGTAAGTACAATAATACAGTGAAGGGGTAATTTAGGTATTTGCTCTTATATTTTAGACTCTGCCAAGTAAGTTTCAACAATGGTCATCACGATGTTTAAAAGTTATTTGACGATCGTCAAAAAGGCTTAAGCAAAAACCATCGAAGAAGCTTCAACGCTAAGCAGAGAATTTCAATTTCTCTCTACTTTCCCAGTGTTTCTCGGTAGCGAGAGAGAGGTAAACATGCTTTTCCTTCCTTTCTTCTTCGTCTGCACGAGTTTCCCTTTTCGATACTTTCCTTAAATGTTACAAACACCCTAAATTGAGAAACCTCCTTTCGAGGGTTCCGAATTTCATGTCGATTTTGATGATGTAAACGGAATCACGAAGATTGATTTCGAGTTTTTTCAGTTCGAATTCCGTATCCTGGTGTTAAGTTCCTTCACTTGTAGAATTTTTAGGTCTACGGAACTGTAATGGCGCTTCTAGTTTTGGTTCGGTTTATGCTCTTCTGATGATACATGAACATGGAGATGACGAAATTTATGCTTCTTCTGATATCAATTTTTTACTTTTTCAAAAAAAAAAAAATCGTTGATTTTCGATAATTCTGTCTTTGTTACTGCTAAACCTTATCCTGATAGGCTATATATATGTTTTTTGAGGTTCTCTGAAAGTTTTTTTTTTTTAATTAGGCAATGAGAAAAACATTTGCTACTCTGTAATGTTTCGTATCTAAACAATATACCTTATTGCCAATTTTCCACCTATCATCTCAAATACTGTTCTGCAACACCATTTACTGAGAATTTATGTTCAAACATGTTTAATGTTCATCCACACACAGCATAATTAACGCATCTTTGATAAAATGCATCCAATATTTACTGAGTTTTAACACTCAGCTTAGCATAATTTAGTGTAAACTGTTCGTTATAGTTCTGTGTCTGTTGAGTCTCTTTGTTATCAATAAGTTTGCTGACACTTTGTCTTCTGCGCACACTCTTGCAGTTTAGTTAACTCTTCTAATGAGCTGTTTTGGTTGGTGTGGGAGTGATGATTTTCGTAAAGCTGCTGACTCCGGACCGATGCCACCGCACAACCAAGCAGGTATCTCGGTTCATGTTTCAACTGCAGTACTTGTCAGTGTTTCTCTTAGTGTTCCATCCTTTGGCTGCTAAGTTAAGATTTCAAACCTTGTAAAGGTTACAATGGAGGCCATTATCAGAGAGCTGCTCCACCTATGAACCAGCCAAGTGTTCCGATGCAGCCTATCTCTGTATCAGCCATTCCAGTGGATGAACTGAGAGATATAACCGATAACTACGGTTCAAAGGCATTGATCGGTGAGGGTTCGTATGGAAGAGTGTTTTACGGTGTTCTTAAAAGCGGTAGGGAAGCTGCCATCAAGAAACTTGACTCTAGTAAGCAGCCAGATCAAGAATTTCTTTCCCAGGTAGTTACTTGTATAAACAGCATCATTGCAACTTTCATGGGGATTCATCTCGTAGAATATGGTGTGTCTACTTTTGTTTTGTTACTGACACTGAAACTTTTTTTCAACAGATATCGATGGTTTCGAGATTGCGACACGAAAATGTCATTGCTCTTATTGGTTATTGTGTTGATGGCCCTCTACGTGTTCTTGCTTATGAGTATGCTCCTAACGGATCTCTTCATGATGTTCTCCATGGTGAGTGGTTAACGTGGACCGTTGCTTGGATATGGATCAGTCACTCAATGCTTAAACATCTGGAAACTAATTAAGAAACTAATGAAAACGTTGTGTCTCTTTCTGTACAGGCCGAAAAGGTGTCAAAGGAGCACTGAGAGGTCCTGTGATGACGTGGCAACAGAGAGTCAAAATCGCTGTTGGTGCAGCCAGAGGACTCGAGTACTTGCATGAGAAGGTGAACCCTCAGGTTATCCACCGAGACATCAAATCCAGCAACGTGCTTCTGTTTGATGATGATGTTGCCAAGGTTGCTGATTTCGATCTGTCTGATCAAGCCCCTGACATGGCTGCACGCCTTCACTCGACTCGTGTGCTAGGCACCTTCGGCTATCACGCTCCAGAGTAACGCCCTTTTAGATATTTACATTATACATCGACTTCGTTGGTCCTCATGCTCTTAACGTTATGAGACACTGAATCATTCACTTGGAGCTTAAACATATTGGGTTTATGTATTTCCAGATATGCAATGACAGGAACACTGAGCACAAAGAGCGATGTGTACAGTTTTGGCGTTGTTCTGCTTGAGCTCCTGACGGGTCGTAAACCGGTCGATCATACCTTACCTCGTGGACAACAAAGTCTAGTGACATGGGTAATGTTTAGTGTAGTCTTCTCTGCTTCTGATTCTGCTTTGCTTGTACTTACTGTAATCGGAGATGCTCTTAGTCCTATAGAATTGAAACTAAGGGTGTCAAAACATGGAAAGAAGCTTGATAAACAAACGAAGATAGTCATTAGGGACTTTAAATGTTTACTAGAAATGACGTATTGGTTTGCTCAATGATAAATATGTTGTGTGTTGTCTCAGGCAACCCCTAAACTAAGTGAAGACAAAGTGAAGCAATGCGTTGATGCAAGACTACTCGGAGAATACCCTCCCAAAGCTGTTGCCAAGGTATTAATCTCCCATAACATTACTTTCGCTCTCATTGTTCTCTGCTGAGATTGGAACCAAAGTAGTGAAACCCAAATTCTGATTTTACTTCTTGCAAATGCAAAAGAAAGCAAGTGACGACATTCATCTTTATGATCCTCATTGTATTTTTTTGTTACCAAATGATCAGCTTGCTGCAGTGGCTGCACTCTGTGTGCAATATGAGGCAAATTTTAGACCAAACATGAGTATAGTGGTGAAGGCACTTCAACCTCTCTTAAACCCTCCTCGCTCTGCTCCACAGACTCCACATAGGAACCCTTATTGATCCACTTTAAACCCAATCACACATCTCATCTCCTTCATGATGATTAATCAATTGTGTATTCTTACTGTTTCTGTATTTGTGTAAATCTATGGGGTTCTTATATCTCATTAACTCTTCATTCATGTCCCACTTTTTGAAGAGCTGTGTATGTCTCTCTATATTATATTTGTATTATGTGATTGTGATGTAGTTTGCGAATGGGAAGACAAATAACCAAACCAAATTTTGTTTGTTTGTTTATCATTAACTCATTTGATTTCACAAAACTCATTATTAAAATAATGGAAACAAATGGTGTAAATTCCTTTTTTTCCTTGTATTAGATAAGTATCTTAATTGTCGTCAGAAAAGAAGACAAGTATCTAATTGAGTTAATGAGATAGGTTTGGAACATAATGGACCCATTCACCCACAAATAAGCTGATAAATGATAGCCGTTAGATTTAGCATTAACGAAACCGGACGATTCATCTCCACCGTTAATTCTTTCGTCAAATTTCACTTTTCAACTCGGTAAAAACTAGTCTTTAAAAAGTTTTGTAAAATCTCTCTCTTCTTCCGAAATCCAAGCATTATATGCGCACAGTAGCGAGCTCTCCCACTTCTGACAAATTTCTACGTCCCTTCCATTAAATAAAACCTTTCAACTGCTTCGTCGACGATTCGCCATCGAAACTCTGAACGCATTCATCACCTTGTTCCCTCACTCTCGTCGAAATTATTGGAGTTTACCGGGAAAATTGTGTTTGTTCAGTCTCTCTGGTTCTTCGCTAATGTTAAACTAGATTCGCGCGTTTGTTCCAAGCCGAGAGATTCGCATTCTCGGCTTCTCATATCGAGGTATTGTTACTATATCTCCCTATTGCTACAACACTTCCTTCTCCACGGATCTGATTGTGATCTCTCTCGATTTAGGATTTTGGGGGTAACTCACTCCAATGCGTTTTTGCTTAGTTGAATCTCAAGTGTGCGATTCAATTTATGCTTTCGAGTTTTTTTTTTGATTTCAGATTTCGTTCATGGGAGAATCTCTGCATCTTTTGCGTGCGGGGATACTTTCCTGTATTGATGTTGGTATTGTGACTATCGAGCAGCTCTATTGATGATTGGTATCGTGACTATCGAACGGCTCTTATTGATGTTGGTTTTGTGACTATCGAACAACTGCATCTACGGTGATATATATACATCTGCTTTGCTTCTGAGAAGCGGAGAGGAGAAAATAAAAAAATGGCGAAGATGATAAACAAGACGCTTGTACTAACCTACATCTACTTACTGATCTACATTCTACTCTCTTCTGGAGTTATACTGTACAACAAGGTAATTTTCAGTAGCTACTTTACTATTGTGATACTTAATCTGATGTTTCTGCAGATCTTTTTTAGTTTCTGTATCTCCGAACTAGGATTTGAGCTGTGAACTGAAGTGTGACTATGTGCATATGAAAATGAAACTATAGCCGAAGACCTTTGTAACCAGAGATTTATCTTTCCTTGACTATAGACATTTCTTGTTTTTGTTTTAGAGGCTGGCTTTTAATTAGTATCTATCGTTTTTGAATTTCTTTTGCAGTGGGTTCTGTCTCCGAAGTACTTCAATTTTCCACTTCCTATAACATTGACAATGATCCATATGGGGTTTTCTGGATTTGTAGCCTTCCTTCTTATTCGAGTATTCAAGGTATTCCAAACTCTTGGTCCAGTGGTTTACATTTCCGTTTAATGAAATGTTACATATGTCCATTTGTTTGGATCTTGCTTCATATTTGACCCTCCTTCTTTTTTCATTGTAGGTTGTCTCTCCTGTAAAAATGACATTCGAAATGTACGCCTTCGTATATTTCATTATTTCCTTCATTTCTAATGTAAATTTCCATCATCTCTCTGGTTTTTAACATATTTTTCGTGGATTCCAGATACGTGACCTGTGTGGTACCTATAAGCGCATTCTTTGCATCTAGCCTCTGGTAAGTCTTTGTTCCATTTACTGTAGAACGTATAAGGTTGATAGATGCTTTTATGTCTAGTACAGTACATCTCTTGAGTATTCTGTTTTACTCCCTTTTACAGGTTTGGCAATACTGCATTTTTGCACATTTCGGTTGCCTTCATACAGATGCTCAAAGCACTAAGTACGTGAGAAAAAAACACACAACTTTTGTTTCGAATAAAAAAACCAATATTAGTAGATGAATCTCTTTGATCCATGTTGCGAATCTTTTTGAATGACAGTGCCGGTAGCAACATTTATCATGGCCGTTGTTTGTGGCACTGACAAGGCAAGGTGTGACTTGTTCCTGAACATGCTGCTGGTCAGTATCGGAGTTGTGGTATCCTCCTACGGGGAAATTAATTTGAATATAATTGGCACGGTCTACCAGGTCGTGGGCATCTTCGCTGAAGCACTTAGACTGGTACTTACTCAAGTCCTTCTTCAGAAAAAGGGCTTGACATTAAACCCAATCACCAGCTTATACTATATAGCTCCCTGCAGGTACACAGCTTCTAAGACTCCGTTGACTTGATTTGACCTCTCGTCCTTGTTTTGTCTTACTGTTGCTTGCTAAGATGCAAAAGATATCCTTCTACTGCATATTATACATGAAGTGTTTTCCCTTGATTTTTGGCTGCAGCTTTGTTTTCCTGTCCTTGCCTTGGTATGTACTGGAGAAACCAACTATAGAAGTGTCGCAGATACAATTCAACTTCTGGATATTCTTCTCAAACGCTCTCTGCGCACTTGCCTTAAACTTCTCCATATTCTTAGTAATCGGAAGAACAGGAGCAGTAACCGTCAGGGTCGCTGGCGTTCTCAAAGACTGGATTCTAATAGCACTCTCCACTGTCATATTCCCTGAGTCCACAATCACTGGTCTGAACATTATCGGATACGCAATAGGTTTGTCTCCTGTTTTTCATTACAGGTTTGGATAAGCTCTCATGTGCATTGTTTTAACATCTTCTTTTTTGATTATGCAGCACTCTGTGGGGTTGTAATGTACAATTACATAAAAATCAAAGATGTGAAAGCGATTCAACCAATTACTGATAGCCTCCCAGATCGAATCACAAAGGTTATAATATAACATGCCATTGACTAATGTTTAGAGGTTGTGTATGTTCTCTCTGATACATGATATGATCAAAATAGGATTGGAAGGAGAAGCGGTCATCGGATGGGGAGAGCCCTAGAGGAGTAGAGCTTAACGATGAGGAAGCTCCTTTGATAACTTCACGGTTGTCTCATATCGGCCGGACTCAGCTCGGAACCCACACCGCCGTCTGAGCAACGTACATATGAGAGGATGAGACCAGGTGAAAATGTCTTTTTTAATCTCTTTTAAATAGAGTTTAACCTGGGATTACTTAACAATGTTTAGATTTATTAAAACAAAAACAAAAAAAAAATGCAAAATTATTTGTAGGGTCTCTGAGAAAGTTATAAATGTTTTCACCCAGACGCATTAAGATCGGGACCCCAATTGGTTTTTTTACTTTTTATTATACAAACAGTTCTGACTTCTGAGTGTTTGCAGTAGTAGCCCTGGATCTGCTTTTAATTTAATTTCTCCTTCTTTCTTTTTATATCATTTTGAAGTATCACACTAGACTTGATACAAATTAGTTTTGAAAAAATAATAGTTGAACTTGTGTATATAAATAATTAGTTGAAAGAATGATGATATTATTATACAAACCACTAATCAAAACATCGATTAAGTATTCTCTTGGTCCAGCCAAAAGCTTAGCTCCTATGTACTGTGTGGATTCCTCAAGTACAACAGCCTTCTCGTTTGAGCTGGAGGAGCTAATCCAGGGATGTCTCTAATGTCTTTGTTGTTTGGGTTCACGACCTATGAGGTGTTTTTGTTTCTAGTTAAAATTTGCTTAAGAGACCCGAAATTTTATAATGAAAAAAAGATTAGGGAGAGTGCAATGGTGATTACCTTCACAACGATAATGGCTATAACACCACAGACAATCAGAAACAGGAACATCATTATGCATTTATCTGTAGCTACCTGTCTCCCAATCTCTTTCACTAGCTGTGTGGCTTTTTTGATAGAGAACTGAATCGTGTCTAGTTCGTTCACCACACGGCCCATTTGATCCGTCTGTAAAAAAAAAATTCAAGCCAGCATACTTTGGGATTGTGTAAGCTTCATAAGAATATCAGGAAGAGATAGATAAATGTTACCTGCCCCTTTAGATTAGCTGCTGTTTGCGTACCAATTTCCACCGTCTGTTGAACAACCTGCAAAGAAACATTTGGGGTTTTTAGCATCGTAAAAGACCAGAGTCGAATACACGTCTTAATGTAATAACTTACCTGTTTAGATCGTTCAATAGCCTGGTCTGTCTCGTCCATCCTTCTCGTTCCAGCATCAACAAGCTCTTGGTTTGACATTGCTGTATATTACAATAAACGATAAAAAAAAACAAGAGTCAAACCAGATGTTAGGCTACATGATAACAGTAAGTCAGTCCCATAAAACCCTTTACTAGTTATAGATAAAAGGTGAAAAAAGTTACAGTTACAGTCCTATGTTACCCTCCATTAGAAAATTTACTGAAATACATCCAATGCTTGATACTATCCCTACATCTTTCAAAGTATATTAAGCACCAAACAGTTTAAGGTTCCAAAATTGTCAATAAATTTTGATCTTTTTGTAGCAAATTCATGTTCTGGTTGCACAAATTCAAATGAATACACAAACCGTATATATAAAGACTCACATGAAGCCATTCGGATGTTTTCTTCAGCTGTGGGTTCACCGCTGACTCCAGCTCCCGTATCAAGAAGTTCGACTTTCTTGTTGCCGAGTGTATTCAAGTACCTGAAGTCACACGACACAAGGACAACGTATTGACACATTCCGATCTATATCTTCTCCCTAAAGAAATCAATATCTTGAATACATTTGCTAAAAGGATTGATAGGTATGAGAAAGCAAATATAAAAACAGACAATGCAGCTTCTTGATGATAGACGTACTTACGTTTTTCTTAGTGCAACATAAGAGTTGAGTTCCTTAATCTGTCACATAAATCAGTGGAAGTATCAACAAGCAGATTACAACAAGATATAGAAACCAAATACAAGCAAGAAACTAAAGCAGAGAGAGAGAGAGAGAGAGAGAGAGAGAGAGAGAGAGAGAGAGATTCACAGTGACACTCACTCTTCCAATGATTAACTACAGATGTGTTACACTAGATAGAATCTCAAAAGAAATTTCATCATCAACACAAAGGTTCTATTTGATAAGAAGTGGACTCACCATAGATTGTTTCTCATCATTCAGTTGCTTATTTACTTCAGGAGGATTTCGAGCTTCCCCATCTTTGAGTTCACGATCAAACTCCTTAACCAACCTAACGTGAAGCACATTGCATTAGAATACGATAAATTCTTGAAACGTGGAGGTTAATAAAGATCCTTGATTACATCAAAACTCTTTTCTACTCATAATTACATCTCATCCATCTCGAAAACTACCAAGACTTGCAAACTTTAGTACATGTCAAAAATTCAATCACTCAATTAAAACGGGAAACATCTTGGAGATAAAAGAAGAAAAAATAAACCTTTTACACTCTCTCATCTTATCTGCAAGTTCTTCGAGTTGCTTGCTTTGTCTAGTTGAATCCTTGATCTTATCCAATCTCTGAAACCCATTCCTGCAAATAGATGTTGAAAATCTCTCACTTAGAGAAAACCCTTAAACGATGATTATGCCTCTATCATCCATTGAGAAACTCAAAATTGTAACCGTTTAACTCAATAATCCACCCTCATTTTCTCATCTATGAAGCTCATTGATACTCATCAGCATTCTAATTTCATACAAAACTAGCAAAATTCTACAGTTTTGTAACTTCATTGGAGATTGCACACTACAGAATGAGAAAAATATACGAAATCAATAGTTAGGAGAAAGCATACGCGAGGACTCGGAAAAGGTCATGGATTTCTCCGTGGATCTGCTCCAAATGAGGGCTCATCGGTAAGTCGGAAGCCATATCTGCCGGAGAATTTCAGATTCCGGCGATTAAAGAAAGCCGGAAATTTTCAACTCGGCGAGAACCCTAAGAGAAAACCCAGAAATCCTTCCCTCTCAAAACAAAAGCTTCACCGCATCAAAATCATCACAAAAACCAAATATAAAAACCCTAATTTGAAGAAAAAGGAAAAAGATCGGAGAACGAAAACGCGGCAGGGCTCTCTTCCGAACGGAAAAGGAAAAAGGAGATTTGAGTCAGTGACGAGGGCTATCTTGTCATTTGTTTGGTAATTTGAAAAAAACATAATATAATTAATTTTGTTTTATTTTATTTTAATATAAATAAATAAATTTAAAACAAGATTTTGACAACGAAGCTCCACCATGTTTTTTAAGTTTTGATGGAAAAAAATTGAAAATGTCGTCCACATTGTGGTACATAATACACCCTGTCCCTAAAAGGACCTACACAAATCTGTAACCAATAAATTTCATTTTCGAATCATTCCACTCACTTATTGACATTATAATATACAATTAGGATAGATCCTCTTTAATTAATCTTCATAAAAAAAAACTAAAAATCAACATGCCTTGTCCTCTTCAAAGTCTAATTTGCAAACACATTTTGAAGGAGTTAACACCAAATTAATTAGGATTTAAGAGTAATTGAACAAAACCATTATGCTTAATTATATACTTATTATGTACAGATTAAGAGACAAATGTAATGTTTATACAAAAGAATAGAACTTTTGGGATTTGACTAATGTACCAAATTTATACGAAAATTTTAATTACATAAACCCTCTTAGAATCCCGGATTCGAATATAGTCGACATTTGTTTCTGCTGCTGTCTACGTAAGAAGCTTTTGTACTTGCGATGTTGTGCCCAATGCGTTCAATAATCTCTCGTACAACTGCACCAACCCAAAATTAGGTCAAATATTAAAGAAAGTCATACACAAAGATCCAATTAATTGTTAGACACGAAAACATTTACCTGTTTAAATAGAGATGAATCGCCATGTATTTTTCTTAATTCAACCACATTCAACGACGGGGTTATCTCAAAAACCTCAGCCGTTAATGATAAACCGTCTTGCCCTTCTCCAGTGCTTTCTTCTTTGGTTGCTTTTACCTGAAGCAACATCAGTTCTCAGCTTTAGAAACAACATATCAAGAAGCAGACAAGAGCAAGAAGAGAGCAAAAGAGATCTCACCATTGTGTGTTTCTTCTGAACGCAGAAACCCATCTCCATGAGGATTGTTTTGATTTTCTCCAACAAATCTTTGGCTAACCTATTTGACGTGAATCTAATCTGCCTCTCTGATACTTTCTAAAATCAATAAAACACGTTTAATGTGAGCAAAAGAACCATCTTTGAAACAGAGTAAACGAGGATCAAGAACGTATATCGTTACTTCTGTCTCAAACAAACCGGAGAGGTTGAGAAACGATGACATTCCGATCAACTGAAAGGCGTTGATCACGGTTGGAGAATCAGGGATATTCTTCTCTTCCTCTGATACCTTCATCAGAAAAAAATCAAAAAAGATAAGACTCTGAGAAATGCAATGCACTTAATCCAAATTCATACGAACCAAGACGTACGATGAGAGAGGCTACTTATTTCTTACATCTTCTTGAATTGAGGAGGCATCATCGTCACAATCGCAATTCGAAGGAGTACTGTAGTCATGTTTGAACCAGTCATTGGCCTTAATAGCTGCGATCGTTATCCTCGTGATTGGGTTTGGATCGAGCATTCTCTTGATCATCGTTTTAGCACCTGGTGATATCCATCTAGGTATTGGAGGGTCACCTTTGAATATCTGAAAAAAGACCATATCTTTGAGTTTGGTTCTTCAAGCATAAACTAAGCGTATCCAAATCCAAAAGAAGCAGTACCTTCCGACAAAGAACAGCGAGGTTTGTGTCATCAAAAGGGAGACATCCGGTAAGAATAACATACAAGATCACTCCACACGACCAAATATCTGATGATGCACCATCATAGCCCTTGTTAGCTAGAACCTCAGGCGCTACATAGTTAGGACTTCCACATGTTGTATGTAGCAACCCATCTTCCTAACATATGTCAAACCCGAAAAAAGTTTGAACATTGATATCTTTTCTGCTGATGAATATAGGGTTTAGGTTTAGGAATGTTCAAAAAAAAAACATATATATATTATATATAGGGTTTAGGACATTTGGCAAATACCCTAAAATGCTGAGGCAGGGCACTAAGGCCAAAATCAGTGATCTTGATGTGTCCTTCTGAATCAAGAAGAACATTCTCTAGCTGCAGCAAGTGAAACTCGGTATCAGAACATTGTGGCCAATACTTTTTGATGAGTCAAGAAAAGTTTGTAAGACAGAAGGTACCTTGAGATCTCTGTGGAAAACGCCCTTGTTGTGACAGTAGCTGATTCCATCAATCAACTGCTGAAACATTTTTCTTCCTTCTGTTTCCGAAAGCTTTCCTTCGGAGACCTGAGATCATATGAGAGCATACTTTTTAGACTTGAAATTACAAACCTTTTGGGCTAACGAACAAAACACTGTTCGCGGAGCAAATATGAATCTCACAATTCTGTCAAATAAGTCTCCTCCAGTGACACATTCAAGGACCATGTAAATCTTGGTTTTGCTAGCCAAGACCTGCACAAGTGAGCACTAGTAAGAATTGGTATATCAAAGACATTAATTTCTGTTTAACCCTAAACTAGGAAGATTCAAAAATCAAAGTGGGTTCACGTAATTAAAGTGTTGAAATACAGTTTTGCTGGATTTACAGTATATGTGAGATTTACATGAGTTCACATGAGCTTTAAACCGTACCAATGAAGGCCGAAGTCTGTGTTAATTGTACCAACTATTTGGTTACTTGGGAGAAAAGTAATCGTTAATCTAGAATAATGATGATAATTGGTTTTGAAAAATTTAGAAGTCAAAAACAATCTTTGCTACAATAGCCATATATTAAAAGTGGGTTCACGTAATCCAACTGTTGAAAACGAGTTTTACTGGATTAATTAATTTCCTGTGAGGTCTACATAACAAGACTGGACCCTTTTTTTTTTTTTGCTTGGCTTTATTAAGACTGATATTTTATCCTAATATGAGGCAATTTTTGATGATTGCTAAATTTCATTAATTCCAAAAATTAAAATGGTCAATTTTTGGGACCGGCCTCTTTATTGAATTGGTCACGGTCATCAAATCTATCGTCAGCCAATTACCAAAACTCAGGAGGAATAATAATACTAATAATTAGAAAGTAGAAGAAACTAGTTTATACGTTAAGTGTGGCTTTTTGGCAACGTCAAGGGAGGAGAGATTACGTGTTTACGAATTAAAAATTTAGATAAGAACTAGATTAAAAAAAAAATCCACTAATCAAAATGCCTTTTTTTAGATTTAATGTTTCAGAGGTTTAATTTAATCGTCGTCAAAACATTCTAGCTTATTGTTTATAGCCAAATAACAGAATCAGATTTCCTTAATTATTCAATAACAACAATCCAAGTGTTTCTCCATAACATTATGCAAATAATTTAATTACCTCATGTAATCTGACAATATTTGGATGCTTCAACACTTTCAGTGTACGAATCTCTCTCTTTATCTGTAAAAATCTCAACAAAAAAAAATAAATCAGAAAGTGGATAAGAAGAGTTCGAGAATCCACCATTAAATCAATTCTCTCAATGAAAATGGAACAAACCTGAAAAGAGACGGTGAGACGAGTGATACGAGACTTGTCGATGATTTTGACGGCGAAGGATTGGCCGGAATAAATATCTCTGGCGAATTTGACTTTTGCAGAATTGCCTTCTCCAAGTGTCCTCCCAAGCTCGTATTTCCCAATAACCATTCCCTTCGTCACCATTCAAATCGCACAAAACTTCCGATCCGATTCGATCAGAGATTCAGAGAAAGCAAAACAGAGAAGAAACAGAGAATCTAAAATCGATTAGTCGCTATCCAATTTCTCTGATTCGAGTAGCTCGTCGTGTGTAAAGGCAATTGTCGTTGAATTGAGCAAAATGAGTCTTAATAAGCTTTGAATTGAATCTATGGGCTATATGTATATATATGTGTGTGTGTGTATATATATATATATATAAGACTGAGATTGAGGAGAAGAAGTGGCGGCTGAATATATGGGAGAGAAGAAGACGCCACTTTCTTTTGCTTCTTCTCTGTAATTTCTTCATCTGGATTTGTTTTTATGGAGAAACGAAATATACCCATATTTACATTTAACAAATAAAAGAATATATCCTTAATTAACAAACAAAAAAGAAACTTCCATGATATAATTTTGGAATTGTTTTTTGCCGACATTTATGATTTTTTTTTTTTAATCTTTTATCTACTTTACTCCGTGACTACTATATATTTCTAGAAAACATTATTAAAAACAGGTTTTATCAGTCCTTTTTATTTATCATGATTGGCTTTTAGATTCACTAAAAATCTAGCAATCACATTCAAAGTGAAACACCCTGAAAACACTTTGTTCACATTAGTGTGTCAATGCGTAGTAACGTTTTGATAAAACAAAATAAAGTTTTTGATATATTCGTTCGTGTATCCCTCGTAATCGCATGATTAATATCGTATTTATTCTCCAAAATTTTATTTTATAAGTATTTAGTGTTATTCATATTTTGTAATTTTTGATCCCATTATTTGAGAAGTATGCTCACGAAACCATTATCCTACTAATTTAATTAATCTGACCCAATCTCGTTCATGTAAGATACACTTTCATATTATAGAATATAAACAGATAAACTTAGGTGGTGGCAGTAATTATTCTTAATTTTAATTATCTTTCAACGATCTCGGGTCACACGTGTATTTGTTTTTTTTTTTTTTTTGCATATATTCGGTCACAAGGGGTAATAGAATTTCATATCGAACTTACTTACTTTATTAGAATTCACATGGAATGTAATCCTTATCTTATTAAACTATATATTTATTCTATATAACAATTTGATATCTATCCCAATATTCTTTTTAAAGGTATTTAATTATGAAAATGAAACACGTCAAGACTCAAGAGCCTTTGCCAAAAATGTCTATAATGTTTGAATTCGCACGAATGTGTTTAGTAACAATAATTCCATCGTGAATACCCTTTTCATATATAAAAAAAACAATAATTCCGTTTTGAACGGTATCACGAACTAGCAGCTTTTGTATTCTTGATGCATTCTTAAAGAAACGGGATTTGCAAGAATACGAATACGGAAAATATAAGGCAATCGAGTGTCATAATAGTATTATAGATTATTATTTTATATTTTATTTATGAACCAACTGCATTTGTGAAGAAGCATATGCTCACGAACCCATTATCATACTGATCTTAAATAATATGGACCCAATCTTTATCATCTACGATAATTTTTCATATTATAGAAACTTAATTAGTGGTGGCATTAATTGTTACCAATTTTAAATTGAAAGTTTGTATCATACGAAACATGGAAATATCAAATGTTTATGATTATATGGATATAGGCCGGAAGAGGATGTAAGATATACCGGAATCTTGGTCAACCCCGAACAGAGGCGGTGGTTTCCTATCTTTAGGGAAAATTTAGAAAAGGTAAACAAATAAAATTTAGAAAAGAGAAACAAATACAGAATTTTTAATTTAAGAAAATAAGAGGCTAGAGAGAGAGAGAGAGAGAGAGAATTATATCCAACTGGCAACTTATTTGATTACATTGATTACATTGGGACAGTACTACTGCTGCATGGGTAAGGACTGTGTTATCAACGTCATGTTAATTTACTACATTATACAAGTTTAAGTGTTTTTATGTAGAGCAATTCATTTCTTCACATTCACAGCATCAAATGTTATCAAATCAGGTTGTTTTAGCTTATTTGCTGTTTTGTTTTTTTTGTTTTTTTGGTAGGGTCATTAACATCTAACCTTATTCCGTAGACAACAAGTCATCAATATACTGTAGAACACCCAAAGCTCTACTCTATGTCTCAGCCATGTGATTGTCTTAGTTAGTCTGACCACATTCAGCGTCGAGGCTTATCTCGGAAACCTCAGTCGTAACTAATTAACAGCCTTGTTTTTTAGTGCTTTATTCTTGGATTGCTTTTCAATGAAGCAACAGATCCAAACCACTTAAAATTACTTACAATATTTCAAGTAGCAGACAAGAGCAAGAAGGTAGCAAATGAGACAAATATAAGATCTCATCTTGCGTGTTTCTTCAAATATTGTTTTGATTTTCTCCAACAAATCTATTTGATGTAACTGGTAGCTTCACTCGACAACCATAAAAGTGGAATAATTATGGCAAAAAATAGGGACGCGCCAAGGAAAACTACTGATAACCATTTTCAATCCCCTGTATATTAAAAGATAAGCATTTTTAAAGAATAATCTTAATTTTATAAAATATTACAGTGATGTCATTTTACTGATGTGTCATCACCAGAATCATTTTCAGAAAAGTTATAAAAATAGATTTATGTTACTAGATTAATTACATGTTATGCCACTCATATTAATTTGGTTATACATTAGTTTATATTAATTATATTGATGATGATTCATCAAGATATTCTCTTTCTCAATTTTTATCAAAAATATATCATATTAATTATTTTTTTAAATACTATATCTTATCTTTTATCATTGTATAAAAATAAATCATCACATCATTCATATAGTGAAATATATATATTCTGTGTTATAATTCAAAATTCAAAAAAATATAAATTATTCAAATGATTAATAAATAAAAGTATGTTTTAAAAGACTAAAATTGAAAATAAGGATGTGTAGATAGATGATTCATAAATCAATATAAAAATACATAAATAATAAAAAAAAACAGGAAGCTTAATTTAATAGATGTTATTATTATAATTATTTTTGATTTCATATGGTTTTAGAACCATATAAATTATACAAATAATATAAATATTTAAACTTTATAATAAGTACAAAATATTAATAAAAAGTTAAACTATAAAATATAGTTGAATATGTTAATAAAATATAATATTATAAATATTTTATTGATTAAAACGTTAAATATCATAAATTTTTAGTTTATACAACAAAATAACTTGGTAAAAAATTAAAATATTTTTGTAAGGATATTATATAATAGTTTTATTAAACTTTTTGATATTAAAAATATTTTATTGAATCAAAAAGTTAAGAATGTAGAAGTATTGACTCAGTTATATACAATTTTAGATAATTTATTAAAAATAATAAAAAAATATAATCTATTTTTATATAATCCTTATGTATATTTAGTATTAAATAAATAGATTTCACAGTAAATTTTTTTCTTCTTAAAAGTTAGTATTCTTATGACTATAGTTTTTGCGGATTAATCTAAATATGCATTCACATTTGTATAAGAAATATAAAAATTGATTATAAAATTTTATAATCAAATTTTATTTTTACAATTTTAATACTCTCTATTTCAAAATATAAGTTGTTTTGCATCAAAGCACAAAAATTAAGAAGCAATTTTTCTTTTAAAAAAATAATCATTTAGCATATAAATTAAATATAGTTCAACTAATTATGAAAAACTGAAAAATATAATCGGTCACATAGTATTCATAGGAAATAGTAAAAAAATGAAAACAACTATATTATGAAACAAAACAAAACCTTAAGAAAACTAAGATTATGAAACAAAGATAGTAGTAAATTTTTATTATTATCATCATAACGCATTAGATACTCAATAATTTAATCAAAATATATTTTCTCTATTTTTTTGAATTTTAAGATCATGTTATTAATCAGGGTTTATAGAAAATATAAAAAGTGACTTTGTATTTCTATCCAGGTTGCATATATATATTTAATTATTAAATTAATTTACATTAGAATTAAATTAGTCTATATTTCATAAAATATAGGGTAAAAAATTATTTTGTCAATATTACAACATAATGTTATAAACAACTCATATAAAATCAATTTTTTTGTTATATGATTTTAAAATTATATTATATTAAATAAATAATTATTATTTCATCTGTGCGGGTTATTACCTAGTTTAATAGTTTATTTAACAATCAAATTTTATAAATTAGGAAGAAATAAACTGTGGAGCAAAAAACAGCTGAGATAGATATAATAAAATGTGATAGGTGAGTTGGAAGATCCTAATCAGAAAATTTTCAAAAGAAAAACATGCAAGAATCATAGAACTCAGTAATTTTACTTATATAACCATGAGGTGATTCGAACAATTAATGTAGCTATCTTGACTAACCCCATTAACAAGGATTTCTAATGAGCCTGAACGCCACGTATAATACCAATGCAGCGTGGATGGCAGATCGACAAGTTACAGGACTTGGCTGGATTTTCAGAATTCATGAGGACACGGTTATATCACAGGATTCTCAGGTCGTCGATTTCGTGGCCTCCCCTTTAATAGTGGAAGCATTGGCAATCTTCTATGCTTTGCAGAAAGCTTTACAAAAAGGTTGGAAAAAATTCAGAATGTTCTCTGACTCTCAGATCCTAATCGGAGCAATCAACTCCGACATGCATCAGAAGGAGATTTACGGAGTGGTGTTAGACATTAAACATCTCTCAGTCTCTTTCGAATGCATCTCTTTCCAATTTGTTGCAAGAACATCAAATGTTTCGGCTGACGTTTTGGCTAAACGAACCTTACAAAACTATTGTACCAGTTTGAACCCAGCCCACTAAGGCTTTATAATATTTTCAGTTTAAAAAAAAAGAGCCTTAATATCTCGAATGGTGACAATGTTCAAGATGAAAATCAAAGTAAGAGAGAGCGAGTTTAGGCTTAGTAAATTCATTACAAGAAAACAAGAGCGTAAAATCCACTATCAAAAAAATAATCAATTTACTCAAATTTTGGAAAATTATGAATTAAGTTAAATAGTTATATGGTTTAAAGTGTAATTAATTATCATTTTAAATGCAAATGATGGTAAGTGAATAGAATGAAAATAATTCACTTCAAAACAAATAATCAATTTTGGGTGGTCAAAATGGTCGAAAATTTAGAAATTGCTACTTTGATAGATTTTCTAGATTATTGGAAATTAAAATTTTGTCAGAAATCTGTTCAAAATTTCTGATAGACACAATTTTTTAAAAAAATACTTTAAAAACTTTTGACTGATTTCCAATCGAATTTTTTTGACGAATTCTAAAGGATAAAAAATTTTGATGGATCAAAATTTTTTTGAC